TGGGGTGTCACCAACCTACAATATAACTCGTTGATACAACGACAGAATTTGAAACCTCATTTGGTGCAAAGTACGTTCATAGCTTGATCCACAGCTGCGTTGGCGCCGAGGAGCGTCTTGACCACAGCATCGAGCCCGTTCTGCGCAGCAACGTAGAGCGCGTCACTCCGTTCTGCATCAGCATCGACATTTGAGCCAACATTCTAGAGCACACAAGAAGAGACGTACGTTCATAGCTTGATCGACAGCGGCGTTAGCGGCGAGGAGAGTCTTGACGGTAGCATCGTGCCCGCTCTGCGCAGCAATGAACAGCGGTGTCGCTCCACTCTACATTGAGCCAAAATTGAAGCGCGCAAATCGGCAAAAGAAGAGAACGTACGTCCAAAGCTAGATCCACAGTAGCGTTGCCGCCGAGGAGCGTCTTGACGACAGCATCGCGCCCGTTCTGCGCAGCAACGTAGAGCGGCGTCGCTCCATCCTACATCAGCATCGACATTTTGAACCAACATTCTAGAGCACACAAGAAGATACCATACTTTCATAGCTTGATCGACAGCGGCGCCGGCCGCAAGGAGCATCTTGACGACAGCGTCGTGCCCCTTCTGCACAGCAATGAACAGCGGCGTCGCTCCAGTCTACATTGAGCCAAAATTGAAGCGCGCAAACCGGCAAAAGAAGAGAACGTACGTCCAAAGCTAGATCCACAGCTGCGTTGGCGGCGAGGAGCGTCTTGACAACAGCATCGCGCCCGTTCTGCGCAGCAACAAACAGCGGTGTAAATGTACGCTAAGCAGCATTGAGGCCAAAAATGCTTTAGACAGCAACCAGCAGATGCAGACGTACGTTGTTAGCTTGATTGACAGCGGCGTTGGCGCTTAGGAGCAGCTGAGCAACAACATCATGGCCGCGCTGAGCTGCAATAGAGAGTGGTGTTGTCCCATCCTGCGTCATCAACATCATACAATGTGCAAGAGCAGATGCAGACGTACGCTCTTAGCTTGATCGACAGCAGCGTTGGCGGCGAGGAGCGTCTTAACGACAGCGTCATGACCGTTCTGCGCAGCAACAAACAGCGACGTCGCTCCATCCTACATCATCAGCACCAGGTGAGGCCACATGTTTCGGAGCACAAGAGGAAAAGGAGAGAACGTACGTTGTTAGCTAGATTCACGGCTGCGTTGGCGCCGAGGAGCGTCTTGACGACAGCATTGTGACCGTTCTGCGCAGCAATGAACAGCGGCGTCGCTTGTGTCTACATCGTCAACGACGTTTGAGCCACAATTCGAGAGCACAGCAAGCAAAAGAAGAGTACGGACGTTCATAGTTTGATTCACAGCGGCGTTGGCGGCGAGGAGCGTCTTGACGACAGCGTCAAGACCGTTCTGCGCAGCAATGTGCAGCGGCGTATATCCGCTCTACGGAATAGGACAAGTCTTGGTGCCATCGAGCGTGGCTGACGTACCTCGCTGGCCCAGTGGACATCGGCGCCTTCCTTGAGCAGACGCTGGACGTCATCGATGCGTCCGTAGTACGCAGCATTATACAGCTGAGGGCCCTAGAGAGAGTACATAGCACACAGCGTCCAGCGTTGACGTCGTACCAATGCCATCGCGATCGTCGGTCCAAAAGGCAAGTCTGTCAATCGAAATTGCAATACTGAGTATTTTCATGAACACACATGCACACAAAACCCAGGTTTAACCATACTGGAAAATGACAAAACGGGGTGTAATATTGGC